ACCTAGTACCACATCAGGAATACTGCTCTGTCTCCTGAAGTGGCTATCTGCAGTGTTATGGAATCCATCATTTGCAGGCTCCAAATTTATACATTCAAGCTTATTCTATACACATGGTTTGAAGCAGGCTGACTAGAGTTGGATGTAAGCCACAGAATTGCTGAAGATAGCACAGAGTGTCAGAGCGCTCAACGTGATCCTGGAGCAGGCCGACACGGTGGCTGCCTGTTACCCCAAAAACTGCTGATGAACAGAGCTCACTTCTCAGCAAGCCTCTAAACAAGATCCCAGCTTGCCTCAGGCACAAGCACTTGCTGGCCAGACTCTTTGGAGATTTTTCACTGCTTTGCCTTTCTCAGGGAATACGGCCCCATGCACTTGCACTTCCAGCCAGCCATGCCTTGGTTCAGCCCTGACCAGCAGGAGAGCCAATGCACCACCCTGCAAAGCAGCAGCCTCCACAATGCCTCTTTCCACTGAGCTCCTCCTCGCTTCCCTCTCTGCAGAGCCTCACCCAGGGAGAACAGGGCAGCCTGGAGCAGCCCCCGCTGTGCACACCTGCATCCCTCATTTCACTCCTACTCCTGGCTTTTTAGATCTTGCTCCTCTTCTTCTCCCAGTAAGAGCACGACATCCTCTTCATTTCACAGGCCACAGCTTCTCCTTCACGTCTGCTGTTCTCTCAAGGATGCTAAACAAGCAGAAGACGTACAGGCATCTTCCCAGAGACATTGCAGCAATGTCTCTTTTTTTCTATTCGTCAAGTTACTGCTCCCACACACACACATTTAAACTCAGCTCCACCAGCTCTTGAATTTAACTTGCACATAAGCAGTCTGATCTACAATGGATTTAGCTATGCAAAAGGAAAAATCCTCTTAAAGTTTGGCCCACAGCATAGCACTATACAAGTACCTGGCTGCCACTGTTTCTGCATTATCAGAGTGCCTCACTCAGGGCATCCTACCCCTACAGCACACAGGCTGGATATTTGCTGGTAACCGCTAGGTCAGTATCCCTCCTAAAGAAAGTCCAGTGAGATAAGCAACCAGCTTAGCCAAGGCCATATGGGGGATCAGGACTCCCCAGTTCACAATCCTGTGGCTTTAACCACAAAGTCATCTTTCAGCACAGAGATCAGCTGTTCCAAGAGCCCACATTGCTGTCAGATGGGCACCACAGGTCATGCATTAAGACAGTAAGCATGGAAAGACTGTTCTCTCTGTAGGCATTCAGGTCAGTTAGCACCACACAGAGGAAGCTACAGAACCATACCCCACTGGTGAGAAACTGATAACGGGGTTTTGGTTTTACTGAGCCAGTCATTAAACAGTGCTGGTCCCACATTAAAGAAAAATAGGTACCAACACACGGAATAAACCAGATCATCCTGAGGTATTTACCTCTGGATAGCTGTAATTATAAACCAAACATCATCAGCTTCTCTCTCTCCCTGCAGTAAATAATTAACTGCAAAAGAATATTCCTCTTGGCTCCATCCTCCCCAATCAATTCTGCTTTGCAACAATGTGTCGCCTGGATTGCTCACTGTATCAGCACACCCAGTGCTCCCCAAACCCCCTCAGAAGACTGAGAGGTGGAGCTGTTCACCTCAGCACAGCACAGACCTTTCCTTCAGGGTACAAGGGGGCATTGTGGCATAACTCCCAGTACTTCAAGCAATCAGCTATGACATATACAGCTTAGCTCATGCACTGCTGCAACATCACTGCAACCATCAGCGGAGGCGAATCACGCACTCTGAGCACTCACATCACACCCCTCTGGACTGCCTGAGCTTTATTGCCAAGGCAGAGCAAATTTCCTCCCCTGAAAGACAAGGTTTTCTATTCCTTTCATTGTTTTTGAATTATCCTCCCCACCCCTAGATCTCATCCAGGGGTAAAAAGAAAAAAAATCCACAAAACAAACCAAGTCTTCTTTATAACAGAAACTTCATTTCTTGAGAGACTTTCATTTTTGAATACTAGATCAAAGTTGAATATTGTGACTGCTCAGTCATGCACTATAACCTGCACAATGACCTGTTCACCTCTTGCCACCTACCCTCATCAACCTGAATTTCATACGGACTCTGCAAGTAATAGGTAAACCAGAAAACATCCAAGCACGTGTTCCTTTTGCCCTACTGAAAGACACCTCCTGGCTGTAAACCCAGTGGGGAGGAAGGATGATGCCAGGAGGAAAGGCAAACTGTCTGGCAGGAGGGCTGGGTTTGGTCAGACAGCAGATGGAAGCAGGTTGCACACAGATACACAACCAGGGACCAACACAAGGGCTGCCATTTGATCCTGGTTTCTTTCTTAAGATACAAAGTCAAATTCACTTTTGAAAGAGGCAAAAGGAGAACACAAGCAAAAATGAGAGCTGGGGAAAACCTCCAAAACTGCTGAAACACCCTTCCTGCAACAGCCAGAAAACACGGGGAGAGGCAGAGAAGCATTACCACCAAGCAAACATCTTCATACTCAGACAGAGTCTGGATTCAGTTTTACATTTTTATGGGTTTAAACGCATACCAGATTTAGCTGAGCTGACTATGAAGTGCTCAATAAAAAGCTCCACCAGGAAGGTAGAGAAAAAGACGAAAAAAGGCTAATTTAGACTCAAAAAGCATGGAAAGAGAGCTTCAAGAAAGAGTCAGAAGAAAGAATGGAAGGAAAACCATGACACTTTAAAAGAGATAAATGAAACAGATACCAGGGACAGTTCAGGAAAAGATCAACCACGCAAAAATGGAATGAAAACTGGAAGAGAAAGACAAGAGAACAAGGAACATGCCATGATAGATCAGCTGAACGGAAGTTGGCAAATAGATAATTTATTTTATCTCATCCATATTTGTCAAATAATTTGTTTGATTAACACTATTTTGTGGTCTTCAGCCAGGTATACAGCTGATCAAATATCATGTCATTAATATATTATTAGATTAATACAAGTAAAATTCAAATTATTCAACATTATCAGCTGCTCAGTAAGTTCTGTTTCTAAGTTTACAGTTCAAAAATGTTGAAATAGAAAGCTGGGGATAAATTACAATTAAAGATTACTTGAAGCACAACCATTTTGCTTTTCCTAGACTGACAAAAATACAGTATACTGCATAACTCATCTTGAGAGACAGAAGAGAATCATCACCTTCCCACAAGGAATCCCTCTCTCTAGGCAGTACTTTTTGTCTTGATCTTATTTTGCTGAATGTTTCCCCCAACTTTTCTACTCCATAAAGGTTTTTCACTCCAAGAAACTCTGGTGAGCTCCAAGAACAGCCTAACAGAAAGGTAAATTTGGGGTGCACTGGTAGCAGGAGGGAAGGCAGTGGGAGCCATATCCAGCCTGGAAGCAAATGCTTGTGTTTGAGCTGAGCTTTGCTCCTCTTAATGGGAAGGAAAGTCAGGTGAAAGATGGACAAGGATGCCTCAGGATCTCTACTCTCACAGGGAAAAGTCTCCCACATTATCAGCAGCCTTCTCCAAACCTCCCTGGGAGAACTGGGAAACAAAAAAAAGGTCAATTGGCAATTTTTCAGCCTGTTTTTATTCCCTTCCCCCAAGACAACAGCAAGGTCCCCTTGCGAATTGTCAGACCATGGGGTGAAAGCCATCAAAGGCAGGGCATCTCCACAGGCGTGGTGGCAGGGCTGCCAGGAAACCCTGGGGAGCAGAACCAGGCTCAGTAAGGAAACCATGGCCATGGCTTTCTAGGCCAGCATCAGAGGAGCACGAGGCTACTCCCACTGCTGTTATACCTTCACCACTGGCAGCAGCCAAGAATCAAACGCACCACAGGAGAGAACCACATGGGTAACTCCCTGGGGCCGGAAAGGTGTCCCTCAGGTCATAAGTCCTGTTTAAATATCTCAGCAATATCCCAAACTGAGATAATTATTGCTAATTACAAGATCATTTTTATGTAAACATGAAGGGTATTACCACGCATACTTCATCTCTTTTTAATTAAAAGAAGTAAGAGGTTCGCTGAGATAAAAAAAAGACATGCTGACAGCTCCCACCCAAAAGCAGACTTTTCTGCAGTGATAACACCCATCAGCTTCCAGACCCACAGAGAAGACTGAACAGGGAAATCAATCAGCATCAGCCTCCCCAGTGCTGAAATGAAGCAGTTGGCACATTATTAATCACACAGGAAAAACGTTTTACAAGGAGAAGGAAAGGACCAGACACACAGAGGGGTGATACACATGAATTCAGACATGGCTGCCTTAAAAACACTTGGGAAAATCACACAAATCACCAGCTGTAGAATTAAAATACTTCAGAGCTGTGAAGGATAAACATATCAGCAATTCTGACTACAGCAACTCTTTAACTGAGCACATACCAAACCTCATGTGTTTTCCTCCATTCAAAACCAGTTCCTGCTCCAAGCTGTACATCCTACCCATGCCAACCAGACTGAAGTACATCTGAGACAGCCTCACCAGGAGCTCCTACCCTTTCTGCATTTCAAAGACCTACCCAGGAGCAACTTGCACATCACAGGCTACAAGAGATATGACCATCCAACTCAGGACACTGAAATAGTCAATGGCTTGGCTTGCCATGCAATGGCTTAACAAGCCATTCCTGCTGCACGGTCCTGTTTCCATCTAAGCATTTCTCCAGCAGCTCCAGAGTTCATCAGTCCACTCTGACTTCTCATTATATCTTTTGTCTCCAGGCTCGCTCCACTGCTTGAGGCAATTTAAAACACATTCCCAGTCAGGACTTGTATGGGCCAAGTGAGCCATCAGAGGCACCTTCCCTTGGGGCGAAGACTCTGCAGCCCCGGACGCCGCACAGCCTTTGCAGGGCGCAGGAAGCCTCGGCGCGCCGCAGAGCCCCGGCGGCGAGCGTCCCTAGCAGGGAGGGAGGGACGGAGGGAGGGAGGGAGAGGAGGGAGGTGTCACCAGCTCCGCAGAGCCGCATGCTCGCGGAACGGGGGACCTCGCTCACTTGCTCGCAGCTGCACACAAATACCTGCACCTCCGCCACCTGCCTGCCCCCTCCGCGCCTCGCCCCGGGCCTGGCGACGCCCGGCACCGCCATGGAGCTGGCCTCTCCTGGCGGGTGCCAGAGCCCGGCAGGGACCTGCTTTGGCAAAGAGTGGGGAGTCCGCTGCTCCCCCTTTGAAGCGCCACAGGAGCAGTGTGAGGGATGCAAGGGGATGACGGAAGACGGGTGCAGTGGGCTGCAAACTGGGGGCGCGAAGAAGAGGAGGTGAACACGGCTACAGCTAAGGGACACGGAGGGGAGCGGGACGGCAAGGGAGGGAAGGAAAAAGGGCAGCAGCTTGGGAGGAAGAGGACAAGAGGAGTGCAGAGTGGGTGCAGAAGGAGGACAGGGGATGGAGGGCAGAGAGCATGGAGTGCAAAGGGGGTACAGAGGCTGCGGCTCGGTGGTACCCACCGCCCTCCCAGCCCGGCGGCCTGCCGGGGCTCGGGCGGGCAGGCAGCGCCCAGGCAGCAGAGTCATGGCGCGGCCAGGCGAGCAGGTGGGTGGCCGCCACCGCCCCCAACACCCCGGGCCCCGCCGCCGCCCAGCGGGCCGAGGGTCCGTCCCTTTTCACCGCCGCCCCGGGCACGGCGGGGACAGCCCCAGCACAGTGGGGGTACGAACTTGGCGGCGGGGGGAGCAGCCCCGCTAACAGGTGGCGGCGGCGCTGCCGACCCGTCCCCGCCGAGCCGGTGGGCGCTGCCCCTGCGCGACGGCGCGTCCCACCCACCGCGACCCAGCGCCAGCCCGCTCCCGGCGGTCACTCACCGGCTCGCCCGCCCCGCCGGCCGGGATGCGCGTCCTGGAGAGCGGAGCGCGGAAGTTTAAAGCCGGGTAACACTATTCGCTTTTGCCTTCCAACGTAGGGAAAACCAAACTAGACGAGGCGTCCCCCCAGGCGGGCGAAACCCCGCTGCGCTCCTCCCCGCCGGGGGCTTCAGCCGCGCGTCGGCCCGGCGGCGAGGGGAAGTTTCCACCGCGGTGGTGGAGGCGCCCCCGGCGTGCCGCGCCCGCCCCGCATTGGCACGGGGCGCCGGGGCGCTGTGCCGCCGCCGCGCCCGGACAATGTGCGTGCGGGGAGGCTGGATAT